AGGAAGAAAAGAGTAAGAGGAAGATGTTATAAAAAGGAAGGATGAGAGAGACAGAGAGAAGAGGGGTGACCTACCTCATGCCTTCATGGATGACTGCATTTGTATCCAAACATCCCAACATGCACTGCTCTGCCTCTCAGGGCAAAATCAGCCTGCAGCATCCAATCAGCCGTGGCCTTTTACCACCTCGCCGTGGGGCAGAGTATGCGCGGGCTGAGTAAGTGAGTGTATTTGTGTTTGTGTGTGTTTGCATGTGTGTGTGAGTTCAAGCGTGAGTGCACACACACACACACACACATCTGTTTGCGTGTGTGTTTATGGATATAGACCTCCTCACTACACTGCCTCTCTGATTTATCTTCAAACAGACAGCTCAGCCATCTCCTCTCCCACACCTCCGACTCTCTCCTCCTTTTTCCATCCCTCTCTCCCATCACTCTGACTCTCTGATGCTCACCACCAATCCATCCATCTTCCAAATACCTTCCCTCTCGCAATCTAACCCTCCCATCTCTCCTTCCAACCATTTTACTCCTCCATCAATCTCTCCCTGCTTCCATCTATCCATCCCTCCATCTGCATTTACTCCCCGCGGGGTAGACAATTTCCTGAATCCCACTGAAGTGGAAAGATTTCAGATTTAATACATCCCCCACTCATGTGATGTGCTCAGGCTTCAGAGGAAGGGGTGAGGGGTTCAAAGCAGGAGAGAACAGGAGAAAGAGTAGAAGGTGTGAGGAAAGTTTTTGGATTGAAAACCTGAGGTAGCTTTGTGATAATCAAACACATTTATCCTTAAAGCCTTTTCTCTGTTACATAAAAAGACTATTGAGTCTACTGCCATGCTAGCTTAGACACAACAGTGCAGTTTAGTGTGTCAGCATGCTAACAGTTGCTAATTGGCACTAAAAACAAACTTTAGCTGCAGCTGATGGTCCATTTGCAGGTATTTGGTCACAAACAAACGTAGTGGACAAAGGGACGTTTTGACCCAATTCTAGATTGTAGTAACTGGGATTTATCATCTGAGGACCATGAATGTCTGTGGAAAATTTAAAACTGGTTTCAATTAACCTGTTAGTGGAACTATATGTGATTGCCAAAGTCACACTGTCACAGTCCATCTTCTGGGGACCATGAATGTCTGTGGAAAATTTAATCTCAATCAGTCCAGTAGTTGTTCAGATATTTCAGTCTGGACCAAAGTGGCCGACAGACCAACCATCCCTAGAACTATGCTGGTAGGGTGGCTGAAAATACTAACAAGTATGTAAGCTAAGCAACCAAACTGATGTGAACAATCGATGGAGTTCCCCTTGAAAGGACCAGTGTGTAGGATTCAGTGGCCTCTAGCGATGAAGTAGTAGATTGCGAGTATCAGAAACTAAACTGGCCTTCAAACTCGTGAAAAACATAAAAAGGCCCTACCTAGAGCCAGTGTTTGGTTTGTCCTTTCTAGGCTACTGTAGAAACATGGCGGTTAAACATGGCTGCCTTTGTAGAAGAGGACCCTCTGTAGATAACAAAAACATAATGATTCTTATATTCAGCAACAAACAAGTTAGTTTGAAACATCAAAAAGTGAGCAGGAGACTGCATTTTCAAGCAACTCACGAAGCTAACATTATCCTAATTAGCTTGCTATACACAGCTGCCAACAAGTTTTTATTTCAGTGAATGAGAAGCTTTCGTTTGTCTAATGACTTTTAATATCTCAATATTTTGATTTTGAGATTACGAGGACTTTAATGAGCAGAGGGGAGAAGAGGAGAAGGAGGAAGAAGGGTGGGAAGAGAGTTGACAATCATGAGGAAATAGAAAATGGAGATGAAGCCGGTTATAGGTTATACCCGAGTGACCCAGTGTGTTAGGAAGAAAAGCTGCTGTCACTTTTTCCTCAGCAGAGTCTGACAGAGAGACAGTCACATCACATCACTCATACTCCTCTCCTGCTTGTCCATTTGTATTTATGTTTGTGACTCTGCTGATAGATTTACAGTGTAAGGTCCACACACTCATTAACACGCACATACACAGAGCAGTCATGTGTCTCGCCTCTGAGGGATGGCTGTCAAGGTGATGTATAACGGCCTGATCAACCTCACCATCATCACTGTGGAGACCCTGAAGAAACTCAGCTTTCAACCAATCACAGCGTCTCACTTTGTGCTGTTATGCTGTGAAAATCTTTGCACGTTTCCAAATGTGTGTCGTTTGTAGGCAAGTCCTAATCAATTAGCCGCCAGCTGCTGTGCGATCATTACACTGCACTACAAGCGTAAACTGCTTAGAAAGTGGCAGTATCACCTGGCAACAGCTGATATTTACTTTACAATTTCTGTCAGCCGTGTGAGAAATTAGATCATTTTCCGTTTAAAGTGTAATTCCCTGTTTTTTTTTCATGTGATATTCAGACGGCCTGTGTGTTAATGAAAGCTGCGTTTAATGCCAGACAAACATCTGCAGAATTACATCCACTGCGTCTAATGCAGAATGAATGGCAGTCATGAGGACAACAGACGCATTTCGCTTCACGATCAGTTCACGCTAAATACATTTTTCCTGCAACTTTGATGTTTAGATTTTGTCCAAAATGTCACGGTTGCTCCTGTGACTCTCATTCTTTAGGCATGCTGGCAGCTGAAATGAGTGAAATTCAATTTATAGGCCTATTACCATAAAGTAGAGCCATTCATTACAGTTATGCATGGATTTAACACTACCTCAAGGTTAAAAACATTGACTGAATATCATCAACAATTCAGTATTAACTGGGGGGAAAACTTCTGCAGTTGTATGTCTGTATTGGAGTTGCTAAAAAAGACTGAATATTAACACGCCATAAATGTTGGGTGACGGCCCAAAAAGTTAGTCTTTCAAGAATAAATCTGCCTGATTTTGTATTTGAAGGCTGTATTATTTGGATTCGATTATTATTGGCTTTGGAGTCCTGAAGCTGATTTTGAATTTAAGCCTACAGACAGATTTATTTTGTCCCAGGGGAGGACAGATAATTGTGATTTGGATGAGGTTGAGAGTGAAAAGTATTTTTTTATTTCACTCTCCACTTATAATGCTCTTAAAGTTAAGCTTTCCCTGAAAATATGTGCTGGACTTCCTCGTCTGGTTTTGATACGACTGATGAAAGTGGCTTAAAGCGCATGTTTACATATAGGGTGTTTGACTTAGCTCCAGTTTTGTTAAAGGCTTATTATCAATGCACGAGAGCACTGTTTATAACTGATATACTGACATGTTTTGAGACACTGTATGGAGACATTTGTTTGCTTTCATTCTCGCACTCATTCAGATATTACATTTTATCAAGAGTTGATTCTCTTCTGTAACAACTTAAGATCTGAATTTGATGAAGACAAAACATCAATTCCAATATATTTTTCAACAAATTAAGCATCAGAAAAATTATCACAACCTTTGATTTTTAATCTCTGCCAACCAGAGGACACCAGAGCAGCACAGAGTTTATATGCTGAAGGTTACTGCACTCTGCTGGTAAACTGAAGAAGTGTTTTTGTGTATGTATACATAGAGAGCAGGGATTTTTATCTTCTTCTTGTCCCACAATCCCCTTTATCAATATCTTTAAGAAAATGTGACATAGATAACTTTCACTTCTCTTATTTTTTTCTCACAGAGAGACACTTAAAGTCAGAAAGACGATCGGGAGTGAAAGGGAATAGTAAGAAAAGGAAGAGCATTTAAACAAAACGGTGGCCTTCTCAACTTCCTCAGTGTTATTTATTTGAACGAAACAGAGAAGAGAGAGCTACGAAATGGAGAGATAAAGAAATGGAAACAAAGAGAAAGAGGGATGACAGACAATTAAAGTCAAATTATGTGAGCATGCCAAGTACATTAGCTACCAAAGCTGATAATGAATCATCATTGTGCAGCTTGTCAGCGGATAATATTCACATCCATAATTGGGACAAATTGGTAACCAGTGGGGCATTTAAACTTAAGCATGTGTGTGTGTGTGTGAGCATACTTTTATATTCTCATTAATGTGCAGAAGGTAAAATGAACGTGGAAAAATCGAGGATATACTGTGTCAACCTATCTTTTCTTATCTTTTTTATCTTTATTTATTTATATTTTTAAAATAGTAATACTTTATTCTTGTGTGATTTTTGTATGACTTGTATATTTTTGTGTGATTGCATATTTTAAGCACCATTGCACCAAGATAAATTCCTTGTATGTGTAAAAACATACCTGGCAATAAATGTAATATCTAAAATATTGTAGTGTAGTTTGTAGTTTCACTATTGTAGTGAAGTATTATTTCTATTCTTTAACATGTGTCTGTAACAAACAAATATCCATTAGGGGATCAATAAAGTTTCTGATAAGATAAGATTAGATAAGATACTCCTTTATTTGTTCCACAATGGGGAAATTCCAATGTTACAGCAACAAAGTGGATAGAGAAAAAACAGTATAAAAAACAGTAAGAGTAGGAAAATATATAATATAAACACTATGTACAATAGAAAAAAAAACAGTAAGAATCAAGAAAAAACAGTAAGAATCCAAACGACAGATAACACAAATAGTAGCAGCAATTGATTCAACTGATTCTGATACAGTTGCAATATATTTTATTATATAAAATATATTGCAACTGGGACAGAAAACCACAGCAAAAACATGCTACTTAACTGTGTTGCACTGACACTGGCCATGTGTCAACACTG